CGGGGTGGTCCGAGGGGCGAAGTGCTGCGGCGTATTCGAATGCTTGAGGCCATTTCTTGCGTGCCGCCCCTTTCGTCGTACGCCACCTCTCCGAGAAATGAGGGGCGGTGGGCAACTCGCCCGCTGTCGCGCGGATTGTCTTTTTTTGCGCCACGCTCAAACTAGCAGCCGCTGCCTCGCCACATCGCCGCAGGCACATCGGCGGACGTGGGGGCCCCGCCTCTGCCACGCACGGTTCGCGTCTTGCTCACTCCGTGACGCAATTTCCTGCCGGAGCGAGGCGGAGACAGCCTCTGCGATGCATGGGCTTCTGCATCTTGTGGAAAAGGAGAAGAAAAGGAACGTCTTGTTTGAGTCTCAAGGAAGGTGCATCCGTGCCCTCCGTCTTATGGAGGAGGCAAATGCCCCCTGTCTTCGCGCCAGCAGGTAACGGCCACCAACGGTGCCCCTCCTCCCGTGACGGCCAGCAGAAGCCTTGCAAGGGGCCACAAGACATGGGCGGAAAATAGGCTTTTTAGACAGTGTGCGATGGTGGGTACGCATGACTCGAGCAGCCGCCACAGGCATTGCGCACACAGCAGCGAGCTTCTGGAAGCGTGTTGTCGACCGACGTCGCTGTGAAGCGTGAGGAAAGGAAGGAGAGTGAGGCAGTCACACCAGCCTTGGCGTCAATTGGCACGCAGATGGAGAGCAATGAGGAGTTGAATGGGGCACGTCGGATGGTATCACAGCGTAAGACTGAGCAGCAGCGGCAGCAACAATTCTCTGCCGACGGCCTTTTGACCTCAGAGGCTCTGGCGCGAGAAAATCGGGACTCGGAATTGTCGCGGAGGAAAGAAGAGGCGGTCGAAATTGAGTTGCAGACGCTAGTGGAGAGACACCCCTCTCCTGCAGCAGAAGCAACAGCAACAAATGCGGCAGAGGCATGCTCAGCGACGCCAGCAGGAGGTGGTGGCGTTTTGCACGGCCAATGGAGGGAGCTATGCCAGCGAGAGATGGGAGAAAATGATGCAGGCAGATGATCACGCAAGAGGAGAGGGGGAAAACGCAAGCCGAGCCTCTTGAAATGAAGAGGGCTGGTGCAGCTCCACAGTGGAAGCAGCACGAAGTGCAGGAAAGGATTCCTTCGAAAACAAAAGGTGCGCTACGGGTGTGTGGGACGTGGAAGGAGTTAGGGATTCAGAGAGTGGCTGCCACTATTACGTTAACACGGAGGCAAAGCAACGTACATGGAAGATCAAGGAGACGCCCTTTGCAAACGAGTGATTGGTGACATGCTTGCATATGGGGCCGACGGGGCGTCATGCGGCTTACGCTGAAGCTTTTGTTTTGGTCACACTTTCGGATACTATAATGGAGTGGAGGGGAAAAAACGAAAAGACGCTGTGTGCCCTTTGCCTTCTTATCAATATTATCATTATTTTCATCTCCTTTATTCAACAGAGGCAGTTTATTTCTTAATTTGCAGCAAAAAAGTAACCACGTTTTTTTTTTCCTTTTTTTTTTCAAGAAGCAGCGGCTTGAAAAGAAGTGATCATACATTGGCGATGCACAACCGCAGATGTACTTCCATTGCAGAAGGTCGCTTTATTTTGATGTAACTGTGACGGTCACACTTTACACTCAATTGTAAAGGCGTGTCACTGCCAACAAGCATCCTTCTTTTTTATTCCTCTTGCTGCTCTGCTGAAAAACAAAAAAGAATTCACATCAGCTAAGCCATCAATAATAAAATTACGATAATGACGACGCGCCGTCTACTGTGCGCCCTACTGGTGCTTGCCTTGTGCTGCTGCCCGTCCGTGTGCGTGACAGCGAGTGGTAATAAACAGAAGAACACAACCACAACGACCACACCAGCACCAACTACAAGTACGATCACAACAATGGCACCAACCACGATCACCACGAAGGTACCAACGACGACCACCACGAAGGTGCCAACCACGACCACGACGACAACAATGGCACCAACGACGACCACCACGAAGGTGCCAACCACGATCACAACAATGGAGCCAACCACGATCACCACGAAGGAGCCAACCACGATCACAACAATGGAGCCAACCACGATCACAACAATGGAGCCAACCACGATCACCACGAAGGTGCCAACGACGATCACCACGAAGACGCCAACCACGATCACCACGAAGGCGCCAACTACGATCACAACAATGGAGCCAACCACGATCACAACAATGGAGCCAACCACGATCACCACGAAGGTACCAACTACGATCACAACAATGGAGCCAACCACGATCACCACGAAGGTACCAACTACGATCACAACAATGGAGCCAACCACGATCACCACGAAGGTACCAACTACGATCACAACAATGGAGCCAACCACGATCACCACGAAGGTACCAACTACGATCACAACAATGGAGCCAACCACGATCACCACGAAGGTACCAACTACGATCACAACAATGGAGCCAACCACGATCACCACGAAGGTACCAACTACGATCACAACAATGGAGCCAACCACGATCACCACGAAGGTACCAACTACGATCACAACAATGGAGCCAACCACGATCACCACGAAGGTACCAACTACGATCACAACAATGGAGCCAACCACGATCACCACGAAGGTACCAACTACGATCACAACAATGGAGCCAACCACGATCACCACGAAGGTACCAACTACGATCACAACAATAGAGCCAACCACGATCACCACGAAGGTACCAACTACGATCACAACAATGGAGCCAACCACGATCACCACGAAGGTACCAACTACGATCACAACAATGGAGCCAACCACGATCACCACGAAGGTACCAACTACGATCACAACAATGGAGCCAACCACGATCACCACGAAGGTACCAACTACGATCACAACAATGGAGCCAACCACGATCACCACGAAGGTACCAACTACGATCACAACAATAGAGCCAACCACGATCAC